CTGGCCCAGTTACTTTCTGACGTGTGTTTATGCCTGTGTGTTTAGGGCATCGTTAAGTAATTGCCAGTATGAGTGCAATGTATAGTATGCAGCTGTTTTGGACAGCAGTAGAGAAAACAATGTGACACCATGTTTAACATGAAAATGGTGCCCAGAGAACTCCCAGGTTTGGGGATTAATATGTGTTTCCAGTAGACCAGATCACTGTCATTTGGTAGTTATCAGTGTTCACTCTGTCCAAAAAAAAGTTTTTCTTTCCTAGGACAAAGTTTATCGGTGCACGTGCTAAAGCTGCATTGAGAAATGTAGATTGATTTATTACTTGTGATTGTTAAACATTTTGTGGTGGTGAACTAATACTGCTCTTGAGTCAAAATAGTTTAGAGGCTCACATGTTAAGCAAGCTCTTAGTGTCCAAATACTGGGCTGCTGATTGATTTTCTCATGGCTCAGGCTGTTGTTGTGATGAAATGGCTACCAGTAGCGTTCACTGTGTGACTCCTGAGCCTTTTGTTTGCAACTGTCCAAACTGATCCCAAATAAATTACCAAGTGATGTGTGTGCTGTGTGTTGAAAATGAGTGTAGCATGCTGCAGATAATACACTTTCCAAAAACAGGTACTGTACCTACAGTATCAATTTAACATTCATAGGTGCTTGTTTGTGCTGCTTAAATACATTTTTTACATTGTGTGAGAATGTAAAACAATGTGGTGGAACAGTATGAAATGGCCATTTCTATAATGTTGAGTTGTTGTGCATGGAAAATACTGCAACAAGATGATCATCAAATTGCAAGTCTGATTCATCCCAAATCCTAAATCAGAAAAGAAGATTAAACTCTTGTTTTGCCTAATATTAGGGTCTTGTGTTGGATGTCATTACTGTCTTGATAATCAGTCACATTCTCTTATTTCCCTTATTTCCTTTGATTGTAGAGCGTCTTTGCTCAGGTAAAAAAATGTGGCGATACAGGCAGCCATTAGTAACATTAGATTTTAAAAATTAGAAGTACATCTCAGTCAGAAACTGCTGAGATATGCCAGCTAGTGTAGAAGAAAGTATTTCACACACCTGTTATCAATACTGTACTGTCCACTGTGTTCTCCCTCCAAGGTTGTATTCCTGCTCCAAGTCGGACACGAGTCGGGTTATTGCCATCAGCTTGAAGTTGACCTACATTTAAAAGTTGTACACAAATAGCAATTATTTTACGATGGCCTACATAATTACTAAAAGAATATGGACATTTATGTGAAAATAGTATAGGTAGAAGTTGATTTTTTGTTTGTTTGTTTAAAGCGGTTTGATTTAACACTTTTGTAAATGTATTCAAGTTTAGTAGCATTCAGTAAATCAACTTGCCCTTTGTATACATGTCTTTGGATATCAAAACTTAACAGTTTTATACCATAAGAATGATGTGACCGTCACTTTTTGGTATATTAAGGTTATGTACCTTATAAGTGTGTTGTGGAATGGAAGGGCACCATTGGCCTAGACCAGTGATCCAAGGAGCAACAGTCAGATTGCATTTCCACTATGACATTAAGCAAATAATTAAAGTCTTTGGTAACAGTAGAGGCACTAGAAGAAATTAGTAACCAGAACAGACAACAGAACAAAATCAGAACAAAGGAAAAAGAAAAAAGGCCTCGGCAAAGCTAGAAACAGACAGCTGGATGGAAAGTGTCGGCTCCTCTTTGAATATTTGTTCTCTGCTCTTCATTCCTATTTGCCTTTGCTTAGTAATGGGAGCATCTCCCTGTGCTTAGGTAAAGATGCTCTTCCTAACTTCTGCCTTTTCTCTTCCAGAGGTGACAGATCTGCAGATTTTAATGGGGAAGTCTCAGGGCAGGCACTATGCACGGGCTCACACTCACTTTACAAACAGTGGGATTTTTTTTACAGTCTGAACTCCTGCCAGGTTATCCACCAAACCACATGGTCAAGAAAAAACAAGGCTATCCAAGGATAGAAATCCTCTACAGACAAAGAGAGAAGTGTTTGTGTGAATCTGGGTGGGCAGGTTTGATTATTGTATGTGTATGAATGAAAGAGTACAAAAGAAAAGCAGCCCACATAAGTCATGATGTTTCTCTTCAACAGTCCAACAGACAATTTTTGTTGCTATAAACAACAAGCTACTTGATATTATGCAAAGTGCAGCTGTTACTGAGCATTGTCATCAACTTCAGACTGTTGGCATTTCAAGTTTCCCTACTGTGAAGAAAATTCCTGGAAAGTCACATTAGTTTTGTTAAATTTTACTGCTTGGACAGCTAAGGGTTAGTTTGACAGTTTAAGTTGTACATGCATGAACTGTGCTCTCTCGGAGCAGGTGGCAGTCAAGGGTATTATTGCATGGGTGTTGTTCAGGGTCGCGAGGCTCATCTGGATATGAGAGGAATGTCCTCCTGTTCTAACAGGCCTCTGTTATGTTGGGAACCTTGACCGTATGACAGATAACCTCCGGGGGCTAATGTCAGAGCTTTCAGGTCTAACAGATTAACAGTTATAGCACTGATACAGCTTGCATGTTCAAACCTCTGACTTTCCCTGTCTCTTTGGCCTTGTGCTTTGCCTCTGTGCACCCTCCCCTCATGGCTGAGCTGTGGCACAGGTTCCTGTAGCTGGATGGTGACCAACACTGTCTGGCTCACACGTTTATACACAGTTTACAGCTTGCTTTAGCTAATGGAAAAGATGGCCAGTATTGTGGACTAATATGGTCAAAGTGGGCTTTGAATTGCTTCTTCTCTTAATGCTAGAATAGATGGTGAGCATTGAAGCTGTGCAGCTGCTGCTGAGGCCTTTGGTAGTCTATTTGGAAAAGTCGAGGATGTGTCAAAATAAATACACTGTAGAGTGAGCTGCTGTGTACTTTATCCCACGTGGGGCCGTATGGCCTGAGGCACCTTGTTTATGTAATACACCGCTAAGCTATTTCATTCAGTGGACACTGTATATTTTAGAGCATTTGCCATCTTTATTTAGAGAAGAGCAATTATTTTAGCAATACTAATTTTGCGTATTGTTAGTTTAGTTTCACACTTTGTTCAGTTATTACTAGTTTGTTGGCCACCGAGAGGCAGAAGTGGCATTTGGGCTTGCATAGTGTGTCTAATTAAATGGTTATTACAGCAGTTCATCATTACAGTTTAAAACAGTATCTTATCTTTGTGCTCTAACGTATTCCCATTTGGGATTTGCTTCTTTTGTTTTTGCTAGTGTCTACTTATTAAAGGGTGCATATCACTGAAGTGGGTGAAAATGAAAACAGACATTTCTAAAGTACAGCTGTTGGATAGAGGAAATACATATGAACCAAAAAAGTGACTAAAAAGGGGCAGTGATCGCATCAGGCTTTATTTAGATAAACCACAAAATTAACTTTTTATATTTTGACTCTACTTAGGAAAAGTTACCATAGGATCTGTTCTCGCTTTCCTTTTTTAGAAAAGACAGCTTTAGCAGTCGTCTGTTGGCCTCGGTCCACTGTGTTTAGTGATCTGCAATCTACAATGAGGATCATGAACTGAAGTTAAATTTAGAAATGCATCACACTGCATATGATGCATTCTGTCTGTGTAAAGCCTCTGATTTATAGAAAGTCACTAGGAAAGGTCAAGTGAATGTGGCTGTGTTCCGCAGGCTGGTGGGCAACAAGGAAAGAAGGCCCGGAAGATGCCCAGAAATTCTTGCAGGTCAGCAGAGCCTCTGTGGTTTATGATACTTGGCACCACACTGTTGGCCCCAGCAGGGCCGGAGACTGTAGAGCTGTTTTTGTGTCATGCTGACCACCGTGTCCTCATGGATATCTGGACACCATGTCTTTATTTGCCAGACAGCGGGGAAGTCTTGTGCACTTATTGTGCCCTTTTCCATTATTCCTGCTTGGAGTTGAGCCACAAGGTTTGAGAGCAAAGACTGCAGCTGTCATGTGTTACACTGGGAGTTGGTGCAAATGATCAGATTTTTGCTTTAGCAACAAATTAAGACTCAATACAATTCACCCTCTGCCTGCACCAATCTATGTAATAGTTGTTGAACCAAAATGGTGGACTGACTGCCATGCCGACATTGCCATCCCAAGAGTGCAACCACAAGCATGGCTAAAAACAACCCCAAAATACCTTTAAACACTGGGAAATCTGCATGTATGGTGACAGTGACCAGCTGATTAGATCCTCACCTGGCAGGAGAGCTATCAGTAATGTGCTCAGCCCTTCTCAAGAATGCTGTTCATTTAAGACAGCTGATCTCCATGTATTTTTGTGTAATTTGGAGGCAAGGCTGATGCAGCAATAGTCCAACAGGACTGCACACATTTCCTTTATTACTGGCAAAATTTCAGCTGGAGATCCCAGCCAAATGTGTAATCTACTAAATCTAAAATCTGGTCACGGTTGATTATTAGGATAATGGAGTTTGACATGGACTCAAATGTTGTAAGCCTCACCTGTCATTTGAGCAACACTCACATAACGACTCGTCTTAGGTTTACAGTTTTGTTTATGCTCTTTACCCACAGTGACTAAAACAGCCTGCAAAGCAACAGAAAGCCTCACACACCTCCCACCACGGTCATTGTAAACACACCCTTCTAACCATTACTCAGGTCTTTAGGGGAAAGCAGATGCTGAATAGGAGGGAAGGGGAGATGAAAAGGTCTGAATACACTAATCCTGGAAAATTGCAGTCTCCATTTCAGACATCACTCTCTGACAGGTCACTATTGTGTAAACTATTTAATTAAATCTTTCAGTGCTAGTCCTAACAGTGCTTTCCCTCCGAAAATTATAATCCTGTATCATTAGCCAGTACTTGGGCAAAAGTTCAGATTGTAAGTATGCAAACACTACAGGTTGCTAATAAGAGAACAAAGTATGATTTCATATTTTCAAAATCACAAACTGGGTGAAGGCTTCACTCCTCTCTGTTAGACCTGATTTGTGTTTGTTTTGACAAGTCATTGTGTCCCTTCACTGTGTCCACAGTACTCTCTGACGGAGGCCAAACTCTGAGGTGGAGGAGGCTGTAAAGAGGCCCTGAAGGAGCCTCCCACCCTTCTCTACCCGACCAGCCGGACACATTGGACAGCCATGGCTCCTCGGAAACGTGGTGGCGGCGGTGGCCGCGGTGGCCTCTCCTTCGTCTTCTGCTGTTTTAACAGCAGTGATCACCCAGAGATCACCTACAGGCTTCGGGAGGACTTTGCCCTGCAGGCCATGGAGCCGGCACTGCCGATACCAGGATACGATGAGCTGGATGGCATGTTCTCCGAGTTGGTGGTAAGACATTCAGCTTTTTTTTTTCCTTTCTTTTTTTTTTTCCCCAGAAAATCCAGACATGAGTAATCAAAGAGTGAATCAGAGCTGTTCCGTTCAGGTTTCAACAAATATCTTTTAACTTGAGGACAAATCTGCTGATTATTTTTTCTTAATGTCAGCAAGTAGCTTGAACAGACCAAAGTTAATTTATTTATTTAATGAATGAATTAATTTTATTTTTTTATTTATTTAGTCAACAATGACTTGATTCTACTAAGACATATTGCCTGATATACCTTATTCATCTGTGCCACAGAGCTCAGTTATTGTGCAAAATACCAATTAATATGTGTAAATTATACACACTGTTGCACTGGATCACATTTCTGTTACCATAAACATGGCCTCTAGTTTTTTTTTTAGTTCATCCCACATACACCATCCCACTACTGTAACTACTGACCAAACGTGTATTAATCCATGCTTGTAAATAGTTCCCAACAAATGCACTATTTACAGCTGTTTGGGTAGTGTGCCCAGCTGTTATAGGAAACTATGTAGCCTTAAAAAAAAAAGAAATATATTTGTTCACTGTTTAAAAATCAGTGGTTTAGTTGGTCCTGTGACTGAGAGTGACAGACTGTCACATTGTTGGGATTATGGACTTTATGACAACTGGAACATATAGAAAAACATCAGGCTTATTCGATAAGAAAACTTTGTTGAACTGGGTTTCTGTTTGCTGAGTTCATATAATAATCCAGGAACAATTCCACATGACATCTAAAAAGCAACCTGCCATACAGTATGGACAGATGAAGGAGGAAACACTAAAATCATCTAGCATAACACCTTTGTATTAAAATCTGAAGATATCTTTTAAATATAATCTTGCCTCATTGCTTAGACTGTTTGTAGATTCACATTCACAAATGAACTGTCACTTTCTCCCAGTTTACACTGTCTTGTGAGTAACAGGCCCAAGCTGCTGTTCTTTCTCTGTCTTATTGTCACTTCTAATTTGTTGTACTCTCTTCTCTCTCCTGGCCCCATTTTTCTCTCCCATGGTTGCCACAGTAGTCTAAGCCTGACATTTTTGCACATCAATAGACCTCATTCAGGGAACTCTTAATGTCTCAGTCTCCTCTATTTGCTAATTGCTTGTTTTTGTCTACCGCCCTTTATACAGACATAATTGAGTAAGTTGAGTGTGACGACAAGGAGGCTTTCAGTCGCTGTTTGGCAAAAGAAAACAGCCACGTGCTTATCTTTTAACCCAGTATGAGCCACAGTGTGTGTGCGTGTATAATGGGAATGGGGTTGCTGACAAACAAGACTAACTTGCTGTGGCAATCTGCTCTGTGATGATCAATTAAAGCCAACATTTGAACTTAAGACTAATTTGAACAGTTTTTCAAAAACTTTAACATCAAGGTGAAGGGTTTTATTTTTCCTATTCAGAGAACAGAGTCAAACAGAACATTAACAACAAATTTGTTGCAACTTAAAACACTTAGAGTAGCTGCTCTATACGATCTAAAGAATCAATAAAACACAAGTTCCATAGTCAGCAGTCTACACAACCACTTTAGGACATCTGATCATGGCACATATTGATCCACAGGACTTGATAACTTTAGCAAAGAATACTCCCATGATGAGTAGTTCTATAAAACATTTAGCAACCAGTCTATTGGCTAAACCATATTAACTTTAATCCCCAATAGTTTTATAAATAGCCACAAAGAAGAATAAACCTGTGTTTAGACTTGTTCCCATTATCTTCTGTTTCTCTCCTTGAGCCAAATTGCTTAAAAGCTTTCTCATAATTTTTATCATCCTTCACATGAAACTCATTTAGCTGCACTTGTCTTAAGACTGGACCAGAATGTGGACCAAAACACAAATGTGTAAAAGTTCAGAAAACTCTCATTCTGTGTCTCAGAAGGTAGAGTGGTCATCTCTCAGTTGGAAGGGTGGTGGTTTGCTTCCTGGTCTCCCCAGTCCACATGTCGAAGTGTCCTTGGGCAAGACACTAAGAAATTTCCACACAGATATTAATAAAGTATAATTTTAAAAAAAGAGTCTGTCCTTAAATCTTTGTTGTCCATGTCATCAAATGGTACAACTGTGCTGCATCTCCCGTCAGAAATCTTCTCCAAAAATGTATGAGATTCGTTTTTTGTGTTTTTGACAAAATATCCTAAATTCTAGTTTGTTTTATACTCCTAACCAGTAAAAATCACATAAAAACTTTCAGTTGTCCAACTTCTGTCTGGCATTTAGTCATATACTTCCCTAACAGCACCCTTTGTGTGCCTCTGTGAATTATGTGTCATACGTCATGACGCATGCTGTCTCCAGATGTTTGTTTCTACGTGCCTAGCAGGCAGACCCTGCCTTATTTTTAAACCCATTACTCACACATCTAAAGCCTGCAAGACATTATTTGATTCAGAGTCATATTGAATTTACGATGAGAGCACCTGGTGAAATGGCACATGCTTTTGTTTCGGGGAAATACAAGATTGATTTTTACTGATAGCTGCTGCGGCTTGTCTGTACTGTCAAGTATGTTTTGAGAATGGTCCTCTGTTTTTAGGCAGCAGGTAATATTGTGTGCAATCTGTAAAGGATTATGAAAGCATCATTAATTATTCCTCTTCCCAACTATTTAAAAAAATGTCTGCATTTCTTTCTGTTACACAGGATGAGCTTGACCTCACAGAGAAACACAGGGAAGCCATGTTCGCCCTGCCTGCAGAGAAGAAATGGCAAATCTACTGCAGCAAAAAGAAGGTAAATGACTCTCACAGTGTATTATATCACATCAGCCTCACAAGCTCACTGCTGACTGGCTGCTGTTGCTGAATAATACTGTATGTGCCAAGTTTATAATCTCCTCCCTTGATTTGTTGATACCTGAAGCTGTGTTTTCTAAAACACAGACCACAAAGCCTTGCGTCACCATGTCTCTCTGCTTACAACAGGCCCTAGCATGAGTTGGCTGCACGCTATATCTGTGGAATGCAGATTTTTATTTTTGATGAGGTACAGTATTATTACAGCTCACAAGATAAAACCATCATCATGCTTATGACAGTATAAACTTCACAGTCTTTGTTTCCTGAATATCTCAGTCAACCTGAGGAGATGTTATACAAGGTGGATATAAAAATAGCGATGTGCAGAGGGAGTAAGACGGAGGCTAAATCCAGCCTGTTGGGCTGAAGAATTCAAAAGTAGTATCTTGTTTCTTGTGATACCAAAGGGTTAGGGATAGTTGTATTTTGTCTCATTGTTTGATATATTTTAATGATGTGGTTTCTCCTTTCAGATAATACACCTGCCCCATCAAAGTGCTCGTGTAACCATAACATACTCTACCACTCTGTGACAGGGTCTTATTTCATTCTGTCTTCTTTCTCTGATAAAAGGACGGTCAGCTGTCCCTTTTTTCCCTATGTATGATTTCATCCTCTGCATGGAGGAAAACACAAATGCCTGTTCTAGTTCAGATAAACTGGAGTTGAGTTTCCCAGCTACCACTGAATGTGGCCCCACAGTTTTGCAGTGGTGTTTTTCAAGGCCATACAAATAAATGTGTAGGATATCCTGCCCCCTAATATGCAGAAAGGGCAGATGCAGATTTATCTATCTTTTCCTACATCCGGCAACAAATTGGAGGTGAGGAGTATTGGGATTTAGCCTGATGGATGGATGGATAGTTAATATTCCAGTGTACAGTACAAATCCTCAGAAAACACAGCTGCAGGAAGGCATAAGGGATGCAACTCATCACACATATCCTTTGTAAATCCACATTTCAAAATGAGATACTAGAGTTTTTATGTGGTTAAAACTAATAAAATATAATGGGTTAATTAGTAAGTTTTTAAAGGTGCAGAGGCAGGCTCCCTGTTTCCCCTTGTGCCTAGTAGTTATGCTAAGCTAAGCTAACCTCCTACAGGCTGGAGCTTATTTAATGTGCAGAGGTAAGCATGGCGTTGATTGTGTTATGTAACTTTCATCAAGGACGTGTATAAACATACTTCTGAGTATTTATGTGTTAGGCAGTATTGTGTGTTTATGCCGAAAGTGAAATAGCATTTTCAGTGCTTGAGTTGATGAATATGCTCAGAGGCCTGAGAAACCACTTCATAAACAATTATAAAAAAGGACCACTCACTTTAAATTGTGTAAGTATCGATGCATGTATGGCTTACTTCGGCTGCACAAAGGCAAGTAATGAAAAGAACTGCAAGTGGAAACAGCACATGCATGCTCCTGTTTCTGCTGTGTCCCAGTTAGTGCCCTCATTAGGAATAGTCCTGGGGCCCATAATAAAACCCAAAACGTTGCTCTGCTTCTGATCTCTGCTTCAAATGAACATGCAGGAATGTTTTAATTTTGTTGTAAAGATAAAGAACGGTTTACAGTAACTAAATCTGATTTTTATGTGCAGTATCAACATGCAGAAGGGGGGGTGGGAAGAGAGACAGAAATGCATTAATATTGCTGACTCGACAGCTGTATCTGGCACCAGCCCAGACAGATACAAACTCACCATCTGAGCTCAGAGAGGAAGGGTGTGTTTAGAGAAAAGAGGCAAAGGAAGCAGTTGGTAGTCCAAGGCAAACAGGAAGGCTTCACTTCCACAGGTGCAGCTTTTGTATTTGAGTCAGTGGGGACGATAAGGTGGGAGGGTGGGGAGGAAGGTGGGGTCATTGTTAGGGCACTCCGAGCTCTTGAGTGACGAGGATGCTCTTTTTCACCAGTCATTTCTTGGCAATTAAATGCTTCAGAAGTGGGCTGGGCTGAGTAGATAAGTCAGTCAAAGCTTCAGTTGTTTGGTTTGGCCAGACACTTGAACGGATAAAATCACGCCGCAGAGAATCAATCTTCTTCCTGCTTCTTGTTGACTCTCCTCTAGGTTGTGTCATCTGCCAAAAAGCAGATTAATCTTAGGTTAGGTTTCAAATTTCATCAAAAAAAAACTTCTATGAGGACAGAGCTGTAACTCAGCTTCTCTTTCAAGCACTGTGTCCCATTACTCCTAAAAACTGAGATTGCTTCCTCTTTCCTAATGTCTTTCATCATTACTTTTCCAAATTTGGGACAAATAAATATCTCAAAATACACTCCCCACATTTCTCTCTTATCATAACCCTAAATAAACTGTCAGTGTTTGAAGACTGCTGACTTCTGAGCTGAAAGACAAACTCTTCAAAGATGTAAAAGGAAGTGGTCCCATCTCTGTGTCTGCCCCACTAATGGACTGAACTCCTTCCAGCACCCGCCTGGTCAAGCTGGCACTGGTCGCAGGAACAGCAGGATCAGGCCTCCCTGTCACTGCACGATTCCTGCAGACCTGCCAAGACCCGCAGTTTCTGCCAGAGCAGCCATGCCTCTGCGGCCTGCTTTATTAACTCATGCCCAATTAGTTTCTAATGGTCACAGCTCACTTGTGCTTAATGGAGCAAACGTTAAAATGAAAGGGGAGTCTTTTATGTATAAGCCAAATTCACGGTCAGGTCATTTTCTTCTCAGTGTTTCCCTTGAATTAAAAAATTTAATCATCAAAGAAATACCCTGCAGTTATCTTTTTCACATGTGATATAAACATACCCTTCCATAAATCAGGCCCTGTCCATAATCTGTGGTTTTGTCACTCATTTGCTAAATCTCAAGGTCCTCTCAAGCAGCTATGCTCTTTTTGACACTTTTCACCACATCTTGAAACTCAGTAAAGCACTGGAGGATGAAATGGGCTGGATATCTGTGTTGCCCTACTTTGAGCTCTTACTCCATTTTTGGCTTTTTGCTATTTGTCCCCCAGACCTTCTGTTTGTTGTGCATTTATCGGTGTTTGTATGATTCACGTCTTTCAAAGCCACTGATCTGAAAAACTTTGATCTATTCAAATGTGATGTAAACCAAATAACAACTTATCCCTTATGTGACTTTCCTTCAAGGCCACATTCTTAAATACAACCAAGTCACAGTTAATATTCATAACCCACCTACATGTTTTTATATCAACTTATCTCATTGTATTTCTTCCCTGTTCATTGTATGACGCTGCTTAAAAACTGCACAGGATCACTCATACTGTCGTTCACTGTGTTTCAGGAACAAGAAGAAAACAAAAGTGCTACTAGTTGGCCAGAATACTACATCGATCAGCTCAATTCAATGGCAGCTGTAAGTAATAACATGAAGTTTGTTTATTAAGAAATTTGTTATTATTTTGACTTTGAATTGTTACTCAGATGTTTCTTTTGTTTAATGCTTTGATAAACAGAGAAAGACGCTCCTCGCTCTGGAGAAAGAAGATGAGGAAGAGAGGAATAAAACCATAGAGAGCCTGAAGACTGCTCTGAGGACCCAACCTATGAGGTGGACCAATGTGAAAACATCCTCCTCTCTCCACACACCGCTCTCTCTCTTCTTTAATGTCAAAAATCACTGCATCTAATTCCATTTGACCTCTCTCACCTTGTTTGTCACTTTTTACATCCTCACAACTGTATGTAAACGATGCCTTTTAAAAACTGAACAACTGTAAAAGTCACTGCAGTGTTGGTTAAAGATTTTTCACTGATGGGGATGTACATTAAAGGAGACTGAGAAACATTTCATTTCCATTTTAGAACCATGAGCTTCAGTACACTTTAAAGGTGAATGTTACTGAAGACGATTCATTTACAGTCTGAGCAAAGGAAATTGAGAACACAAGTAAACATACAGATACAGTATATACACATTTTTTGACCTGTTATTAGAACTTTTCTGCAGGACATTTGTGCATTAGATTTATATTTCATTTCATGTTAAAACTAGTTTTCACAGAAGCATGATTTTGCCCTGCTCTCCTCTCAGGTTTGTGACTCGCTTCATTGATCTGGATGGCCTTACGTGTATCCTGAACTTCCTGAAAAGCATGGACTATGAGACCACAGAGTCACAGATCCACACATCACTGATCGGCTGCATCAAAGCTCTGATGAACAATTCGCAGGGCCGCGCCCATGTCCTCTCTCACTCCGAGAGCATCAACATCATTGCTCAGAGCTTGGCCACGGAGAACATCAAGACCAAGGTTGCAGTGCTGGAGATCATGGGTGCTGTCTGTCTGGTGCCTGGTGGACACAAAAAAATCCTGGAGGCCATGCTGCACTACCAGCGCTTTGCCTGTGAGAGGACACGCTTTCAGGTAGGTACGAG